CCTACACCCGGAACCCTAAACCCGGAACCCTGAACCCTACATGCCTCAGCACGTCCAGGGATCCGGGCCCCCAGGATCTCGAGGACTGTGGGGAGTTGATCCATGGCTCAACCAAGGGCCTAAAGGGTGTAGGGGTTTAGGGTTTAGGGTTTAGGGTTTAGGGTTTAGGGTTTGGGGTTTCAGGGTTATGGGCTTAAGGGTTTAAGAGTTTAGGGTTTAGGGGTTTATGGGCTTAACGGTTTAAGGGTTTAGGGTTTAGGGGTCTATGGGCTTAAGGGTTTAAGGATTTAGGGGTTTAGGGGCTTGGGGTACAGGGACTTGAATCCTTAGAATTCGCCTTGCGGGGCTCGCTATGGTTTGGCTATATATGGAAACGACGCGGGCATACCCTTACGAATTACGAAGACCTCTATCTTGGAGCACAGGTCTTGAGCAAATGATAGAAAATATATTGGGGTTTGCGAGGCTCGGGGTTCAGCGCGTCGGGACTCTCCGACTTGTTTCTTAATTGGAGACCCTCAACCCTCAACCGCCTAAACTCTTTCAGCCCCAAATCCTTGAGATCATTCGTAGGGCTCGTAGGATTTTGGGGCTTTAGGGTTTTAGATGTAGTCGGCGTGGGGTGGAAGGTCCCTGTCTCCAGGTTTAGGGCTCAAAATCCTAAACGTTCAAGGTCCGCTGTGCTGGAACGTTGGCCTCGCTGGCAGACGTTTTCCTGTCCCAGACCATCGGATGGACTCAAAATCAAGAGGAATAGGGTTTCGGGGTATATCACACTATTTAGCATTAGAGTTCAGAAATGTTCAGAATTTGGGGTGAGGGTCCGGTGAGGGTTCCGTCCCGAGCCCTGGAAGCAATGCCTCTTGATTCCTCGATGAGCCGATGCATTAACCCTAAACCCTAAACCCTAAACCGAGGTTTCGAGCGAGGGGCTGAGGCTCAGAGTAGGGGCCTTAATAACTAGAATGGCCTTGGGGGGGGGGGGATATATTGCATTGTAGGAGACTTCTATTTTGATTGAAGGCTCGAGGTTTTCAGCACTTTGGGGCAGTTCCAAGAGTTCCTCAAGTATTATATTCCCCGTAGGCATGGAACCCTTCTCTCAAGCCCTACTAATACCCTACAGAATCCCAAAGTACGACCCTATAAATTGCATCACAAAATCTTTTTCAATCCATCTGCGGCTCCCCTGAGACTTGAGCTGATCTCGCATCACGCTGCCCTAAACCCTAAACTCTAAACCCTGAACCCTACGCTGCCCGCTGGCAGCGTGTTCACGCGCGAGGGCTCTCAGATCATCGGGGACACCCGCCCCGGCATGTGCAGCCCCACCGGGCACCCTAGTTTATCGTGTTTTGCTTTCGTTGCTATGGGGTTCGAAAAATGTCTTTACATAAGTGTTTAAGAGGACTTATCGGCGGGATACAAATGGCTTCGTGCTTGAGGGTTAAAGGTGTTGCGCTTGGTCAGCTCTGGGCTGATCATCCGGTTCGAGGTGCGATTCGGGTTTCGGGTTTAGGGTTTAGGGTTTAGGGTTTAGGGTATAGGTTATAGGGTATAGGGTTTAGGTTTAGGGTTCCGGCTCGGGGTGCGGTTCAGGGTTTAGGATCCTAGGGTGTGTGAAACCGTGGCTCAGGAGGTGCCGCGGGATCATGAGTAGCTGAATCTCAGCAGTTTGCTGAGGGTTTAGGACTTAGGGTTTAGGACTTAGGGTTTAGGACTTAGGGTTTAGGACTTAGGCGTGTGATTCATTAGACATGAAGGGTCTCACGGTCTCACAGGTTGTTGAGATTTTGTAGGGTGCCATACGTTTAGGCATCGCTAGGAATATCACTTCCCCCGCGACAGTCCCCATACAGTTACACTGTAGCTATACTCGAAAGTCCTCGAAGCCTTCCTCAACTCTTATCAAAAACCCTCCGAAACGTATAAACAAGTTTAAAACGGGTTTAGGGTTTAGGGTTTGTATACTGCATAAATGCCGTGACTTTGGGGCCCTTTGGAAGAGCCGGTGGTTGCGGGAGCTTTGAGGTGTCCCAATCCCCCAAGGAAAATCACACAACGCGCTTCGACGCCAGAAGCCAGAGAGCCTCAGTTGCCCTCGTTTTAACGGGGGTTTGAGGGTTTTGGGGGGTTTAGGGTTCAGGGGTTTGGGGGCTTAAGGGCTTAAGGGTTTAGGGGTTTAGGGTTTTATGGGCTTAAGGGCTTAAGGGTTTAAGGGCTTCAGGGTTTAGGGTTTGGGGTTCAGGGTCTAGGGTTGGGGGCTTGGGGTTTGGTCTTGAGTCAGGAATCTCCATGAACTTACGGCATATGAGAATGATTTACGAAGAAGGTTTTAGGGTTTAGGGGGGTAGGGTTTAGGGTTATCTGATATCTTAAAACACAAGGCCTGGTCAAAGGAACAAACCTCATGCATCAGAACTTGCTGCGTAATGGCAGGGTAAGCTGGGCTCTCTGGAAGCTGCAAAACGCAGACGGTTTTGGAAACAAGGATATTGCCTTTTTCTTGCGGCCACATGCTAAACACCATACCCGACATGCTACACAACCCTAAACCCTAAACCCTAAACTCTTAAGCCGAAATCCTGGACCCGCAAAAGCCTGGGATCCTAAGGACAAAAAACAACTGTCACCCCGACCCCCCCTCAACGCCCGGCCCTTAAACCTAAGTTAGACCCGTCAGCCCTGCATCCCAAACCACAAGCCCTATAGAACCATATGGAACCCTGATAGAACCGTAGTTGAAACACAAACCTGTGTATTTGTTGCGGGGGGGTGGACCTTAAACCCTAAACCCCAAACCCCAAACCTTAAACCCTGAACCGTGAACGGTGATTTCAAGGGGCGGGGCCTGGTCATGCGGGGGCCTGGACTTCTGAGATTGCAGTCTAAGGGTTTGGCGCTTTATGATTCCAGGGTTTAGGGTTCAGGGTTTAGGGTTTAGGGTTTAGGGTTTAGGGTTCAGGGTTTAGGGTTTGGGGTTATGGTTGTCCCTGAACCCTAAACATTCTTGCTTCGTAGGTCCAGGGTCCGGGCGGTCTGGGCTTAGGGTCTTGGGGCTTAGGAAGTGGGGGTTCGGGCTCCTCGGATGTTGGGGGTTTAGGGTTTAGGGTTTAGGGTTTAGGGTTTAGGGTTTAGGGTTTAGGGTTGGGGGCTTTCTGGGATTGAGGATTTGGGTTTTGTTGGGGTTTAGGGTCTAGGGGCTCCCTTTGCTGCGAAGTCTAAAGGGTCCCGAGAGGCTCACAAGGCCGGGACAGCTAGTGCCACATTGGACCTAACGGATTCGGGGTCAGGGCTTCCTGGATGTAGGGCTTAAGGGTTGGGGATTTCTGAGTTTAAGTTTTAGGTGATGAGTTTTGGGGCTGAGGGCTTTGGGGTACGTAGGGCTCCCGGGTTTTCGTTCCTAGGGTCTACAGCATAAGGATTCTGAAAGCGAACGAGTACGCACGTTTCTTGTAGGGGCCTTGATAATTAAAACGGACCCTAAACCCTAAACCCAATGCCCTAAACCCTAAACCCTAAACCCTAGACCCTAAACCCTAAACCCTAAACCCTAAGCCCCTAGAATTGCAATAGGGAGCCACAGGCCCCAGGAAATAGTATTCCTGACTAGCCCGAGCCAAGAAACCCTAAACCTTAAAACGCCAAACCCGAAACCCAAAACGTTAGGACGGCAGAGCTTTCGGGCTTCAGGGTCCAGGTCTTTGCGGGCCTCGGAAACCTCAAAAAGGCAGATCCCTGCAGCAGGGAGACCTACGAAGCCCCAGTTGGGCCTCTCTTCTCTCCTGCATTGGGCGCTTCGTCGGCGCTGGTATGATTCAGCGCAGATCTGCACACAGATCTGGCCAGGGCCCCTTGCTGCAGGCGGCTGAGCCCATCTTTGCATCGCTACTGGAATACTTAAGACAACGACGGCTCTTCTTGCTCATGAAACAGTCACTAGTTATGGCTGTGCTTATGATGACTACGCTTACGGTGACGACCACCACCACCCTTGGGAGAACTGTCTCTACAATTTGCTGTTTGCACGGCGAATACTGTTTTGCATCCTCGTATCTGCACCAGATACTCAACTGCTATAACGACTATGTCACGGGTCATAAAGACTTCTAAGGTGAGTCTTGCTGTACCTGCATGTGCTATGCCTGCCATTGTTGCTTCTACCAGGCTTCGTACCCATCATGATTCTCTTGCGACTACTACGATAGCAGCATAGTCTTCCTTTGCGGGGACGGCGACTGTTCTTGACATCATCAGTGTTACAAAACGGCGAAGGTGATTGCGAGGACATGTTCACTGTTGTCACGATGGGGTAACAGGATTGCGCTGGCAACGACTCTTTCATGTCATGTCTAGAACTCTTCGAACCCTTGTCTTGTTAGTTCTTTCAGAACCACTGTCAGGACTACTGTTACTTTAATGTTCATGAATGCTCTGTTCAGTTGCAAACACAACGATCACTACGGCCTTGTTCGATAGGTCCACCGTAGTCACAACCTACACCTCAACTCTGAAGCCCAAACCTTGAACCCTAAAGTGTTCCAATCAATACTGCTGCTTGCTACATGCCTCCGCACACAGCAAAGGCTCGCCATGGGGTCAGAAGGAACCCCATGGAACCGAACTTGGACACATCTTGGGGTTTAGGGTTTTGGGTTTAGGTCTGTAAGGGGTTGGGGCTGTTGGTTGTTCACGGGTCTGGCTGTGGTTTCAGAAGACCCTGTTCGGGCTTCGGTGCTTCGGTGGGGATCCTTGTGACGGTTCGTCGAGTTCCGCCGCATCTGCCGAAAGTCGCAAGGCTTGTCTGCCCGGCCTATGTCTATCTGTGCCCCACAGACTGCACCCGAAATCCCTGTCTTGACCCCTATGTAGCTCCTTTCTGGCCTTGTAGGCCCCCAGCCCATCAAGACACCACACCCTAGCTCTTCTCTGCTTTGCAAAATCCGAAACCTGAACCCCGACGCCTGTCTGTAAGTAGATAAACATGTATACATATAAACATATACATACACATATACATATACTTGTTCATAGGGAAAAAGGACTGGCTTAATGGTTTAATGGTTTATTGGTTTAGAGGTATGGAGCACAAGGATTGGCTTCATGGTTTAATGCTTTACCGGCTTAGTGGATTAGTGGTATGGAGCAAAAAATGGCTTAACGGTTGAATGATTGATTGGTTTGGTGGCATGGAGCAAAAGGATTGGCTTAATGGTTTAATGGGTTATTGGTTTAGTGGTTTAGGCGCCCTGTTGGTTATAACCAAACGCAACGGGTATAACCACATACAAAAGAGAACAAGTGCATAATTAAAAGCTTCAAAGCTGAACATGCAAAAAAAAGAAGGGGCGGTGATATAACATTGCCCATACATATACATATATATATATATGCATATACCTCTACCTATACTTTTACTTCAACCTATGCCTATACCCAACCTGCGGCTGTACCTGTACATACCTATGCCCACACCCTTACACACACATATGTATACACAAACACATACAACCATATACATATGTATGTATATATATATATATACATATACAGCCATGTGTATATATATATACACATATATGTACATATACAACCATATACACACACATGCATATGCCTATATCTCTATAACATAACTATGCCTATATCCATGCCTGTGCCTATACCTATACCTATACCTACACCTATATGTATAAGTATGCATATACATATACTTACATGTGTGTACACACATACCCAACTCCATGCAAGTGCGTGTGTGTGTATACATATATACATATATATATATATATATATATGCCTGTCTGTAACAAATATATATATATATAGTTTACTTATTCTTTACGTAATTGTTGGCTTGTTTATTTGATTTATATTTATATGCATTAATTTAATTGGTTCTTTATACACACACATACAGATATATCTCTATATATATATATATATATATATATATATAGAGACTCGGTCGTTCGTTTCTATGTCGTGTGGACTTTCGGCTTTCGGCCGTAGGGTTTGAGGTTTGGGTTTCGGGTTTAGGGTTAGGTTGACGGTTTGCCATGATAAAGTGATTTTCCATTGGACACTCCCGCCAGCTTCTATGTTAAAGTGCTCCCCCTTTGGACAATACAGGAGTCCTGGTCTCCCTGAACCCTAAACCCTAAACCCTAAACTAAACTCTAAACCCTAAACCCTAAACCGCTCCAGAAGTGGCTCTCTTCCGGCAGCATCGCAAGCTGCGCCCCTAATCGCGAGACGAGCCGAGGCGGAAGAGCTCCCGAACTTCGTCGTCGTCGTAGTCTGCGATCCAGTTCTCGCCTCGGTTTAGGGTTTCGGGTTCAGGGTTGCGGGTTTAGGGTTTCGG